TGGTGGTGGTGGTGATGATAGTGGTGGTGGTTATGGTGCTGGTGGTATTGATGGTGATGATAGTGGTGATGGTGGTGGTGGTGGCAGTGATGGTGGTGATGGTAGTTGTGGTGATAGTGATAGTGGTGGTGATGGTGGTCGTGGTGGTAATGATGGTGGTAGTGGTGGTCGTGGTGATGGTGGTGGTGGTTGTGGTACTGGTGGTATTCATGGTGATGATGGTGGTGGTGATGGTGGTGGTGATGGTGGTAGTGATAGTGGTGGTGGTTGTGGTGGTGGTGATATTGATGGTGATGATGGTGGTGATGGTGGTGGTGGTTGTGGTGGTGGTTGTGGTGCTGGTAGTGGTGATGGTAGTGGTGGTGGTGATGGTGGTGGTTGTGGTGCTAATAGTGGTGATGGTAGTGGTGGTGGTGATGGTGGTGGTGGTGGTGGTTGTGGTGGTATTGATGGTGATGGTAGTGGTGATGGTGATGGTAGTAGTAATGGTAGTATGGTGGTGGTGGTGGTGATAGTGGTGGTGGTGGTGGTGGTTGTGGTGGTGGTGGTATTGATGGTGATGGTAGTGGTGGTGGTGATGGTAGTAGTGATGGTAGTGATGGTGGTGGTGGTGGTGGTGGTAGTTGTGGTGGTGGTGGTATCGATGGTGATGGTAGTGGTGATGGTGATGGTAGTAGTAATGGTAGTGATGGTGGTGGTGGTGGTGATAGTGGTGGTGGTGGTGGTGGTGGTGATGGTAGTGGTGATGGTGCTGTGGGGGTGGTGACGGTGGTAGTGATGGTAACAATGATAACAACAACAGCAGTCAACGTTGACTGAGCCACTGCTAGGTGCCGAGCCCTGTGCTATGGAGTTGCTGTGCCTTATCTCATTGCATCTTCATGGCCACCCAAGGAGGTTTGCCTTATTGCATTATTATTATCATCCCCATTTACAGATGAAGAAACTGAGGCTGAGAGAGGTGAAATCACTTGCCCAAGGTTAATTAGTAAGTGGCAAGGCCGGGATCAGAGCCCATGTCTGCTTGCATGGCACTGTGCTAAGCCCTCGCATCGGCCCTGCTGCAGGGACTCAGAGTGGCCAGAGGGACCTGGTGCACCCCGTGGCCTCAGCTGTCTCACACACCCGCCTGCCCCATCATCATCTGAGCCTGGGGCTCTTCGCTGACCCTCTGCAGTGACCCTCATGTCACTATCTTCTTGACCTCACAAGGGCTCTGAGAGGTAGACTGGATTAGCAGATGGGGAAACGGAGGCCAGAGAGGGGACATGACTTGACAGAGGTCATGGAGTGCAATTGAGGAAGCGATTGGCCAAGAACCTAGGTTCTACCCACCAGCCTTCCAGGGCCATCAGAGCTGCAGACTGGACCCAGTGAGGGCCACAATGGGGGCAGCTCGAGGCAGTGATGAGGACAGCTCCAGGCTGTGCAACCTTAGGTGAGCATCTCAACCTCTCTGAGCCTCAGTCAGGACCCAGTGCAGGGCTGGCACATGAGAAAATTTTAGTCCATGGGAGTTGAGGAGAGGCCATGCTGGACACAGGTGTGGCAGCCCAGAGCTTTAGCATCCGTGGAGGAGACCTCCCGTGCTGCTCCTGTCTCTCCAGGGTGACAGTTCTAACATCCCTCGCCCTGGAGGCGGGGATCCCATTAATGCACCCCACTGGGCTGGGGACCGCTTGGAGACCACACAGACCTCCCTTCCTGCCAGTCTAGGACTCGTCTCTCGGAGGTGAGGCTACTTTCCCGAGCCTCATCGGTGACCTGCAGCCATGCCACCGGGACCTGGCATCACAGGGCTTTGCCTAGGGGAGGAGGAGGGGATTCCCATCCCCACCCACTGTCACTGTGGTGGCAAGGCCTCCTGGCAGGGGGACAGCTGGGCTGGGCTGTGCCCCCATCCACAGCACAGGCGGTTGGATAATGAGAGAAATTTTTGAAAAACAAAACCAGATGCTTTTTTGAACATTTCTGGGACTTAAAAGGCTAGGGGTTTCATCCCAATGCAGCTAACTTCCTCTCCTCCGTCACCTCCCGGCCACTGCCCGAGGCTTCTGTGCCCTTCAGGCCCAGCCCCGGATGACAGGGCTCCACGCCTGCCTGTGGGGCTCTGCCAAGGCCGACGCTGCAGCCCTCGCCCCACCCTGGATCCAGGCCTCGGCCTCCCCCGGGGACCCATGCTCTTGGCCATGGGATCCGACCACCTCCCACCTGCCCTCCTCCTCTCCTGAGAGGCCATGGCCTTTGCCAGCCCCTGGGGACAGAGGAAATGAGCCACGCTGTGCTCTGGAGCAAGGTGACTCATGACAGGGGCCAGCAGAGCAGCAGGGAAGGCTCTGGCTCTTGGGGCTGCAGCTGGCCTGACACCAGCTTGGAGGAAAGTTGTGCCACCTGCCCACTAGCCGGGGACAAAGACCGGGCTCCAGGCCCCCAAGGCCCCCTCCACCGCCCCCGTAGGCCTCAGCTGGACACCTGCTCTGCTCCAGGGTTGAGTCGGGGAAGGAGCGCAGGAAGGGGGCGATGCTGGGCACGCTGAGGGCCCCTGTGGGCCTCAGTTTCCCATCTGGACATCAAGAGGGTGGAACTGGATGGCCTCTAGCAGCTCAGCCAGTTCCCATCTTGCAGGATTCTAGAATAGCCCACCCCCCACAACCCCATCTCCATCACTAAGGGAAAATAAAAGGAAAAAAATAACACCCACCCCATCTAATCCTTTCCCGGCTTATACCACGCAGCTCAGCTCTCTCGCCGGCTCCTCTGGGGGATGATGGAAATGTGAATTTAAATAGAGTTATGTTGAAAGAACATTACCCAGCACGGTCCCAGCAGGGAGAAGTCCTGCCGAGGCGCAGAGGCAGGGCCGCAGTCGGCATGTTTACGAGAGAGGCCAGCACCTTCGGACAATTACAATCAGGACAGCTTGATTAGCCTTCCTCCCGCCTGGCCCCTTCCCATGAATCTCCGTAATAGCTAGCTGCCTTCTTTCGGGGAGCCGGGGTCGGTCGCTGGGGACTATCCGCGTGTGGATAATCTCCCCGTGCCACCACGCCGCCCTCCACAGCAGACGGGGACTCCAAACCAGCTTTCTGGGCGGCTCGCTCCCCCTCCCCAGCGGGGGCGGCCACCAGCCCGGGACAGGATTAGCATGGCTGTCTGCTCCAAGCCAAGGGCTCAGACACGGGGCTCCAGGCAGAACAGAGCTGGTGCCATGAGCTGGGGACATCCAGGAGACCCCTGGCTCCCCCCGGCTCCTCCTGGCTCCCCCTGCACAGCCCTGAGCCAGCCCTCACGCCCCCACACTGCACTCTTTCTCATTCGCATGAGCACCCTTGAGGGGAGTGCCAGTCTGCTGTGGTCGCCGCTGGGCACGGAGTGGGTGCCAGGCAGGGCTGTCTGTAACACATAACTCAGCAGGTTGTTGTGTTGTTGTGGATGGTGGTGTGTGCTGTGTTTCATTGGATCGGGGTTTCATTTGTGTTTAGTACACTCACTGGGGTTATGTGTCACCCTTCCAGTCGGTGTTTGATGCGAGTTCTCAAGTTGTTGTTTGTTAGGAGCTGTGGCTTGTGTTTGTCCCATTTGTGTGTTGTACGTGTTTGTTTGGGCCTCGGGTGGCTACAGAAACGGGCACAGGAAGAGACCAGATGAGCCAAGAGGGCAAAGGTCCTAGTGTCAGGGCAAGAGTTTTTGCTATGGCGTGGTGTTTGGTAGCTGTTGTTGGTGAAGGCCAGGACCTCCCGTGGCCTACCAGGCACTGCAGGGCCTGATGGGAATGAATGGAGCCTGCTCTGGGGTACAGTTCCAGAAGCTGATATAGCCCCCCAGAATGGCACTGAAGATGGTGGTGGTGCTGGTGATGATGATGGTGATTATGGTGGTGATGGTGATGATGATGATGATGGTGATGGTGATGATGATGGTGGTGATGGTGATGATGATAGTGGTGATGGTGATGATGATGGTGGTGATGGTGACAATTGTGATGATGGCAGTGATGGTGATGGTGTTGGTGATGGTGATGCTGATAACAGTTGTGATGATGATGATGGTGATGTGATGGTGATGACAGTTGTG